CTGCGCACACGTCACAAAGCGGCTGGCCGGCAGCAAAGCATGTCGCGGCGCGGGGATCTAGCAACTTGCCGAGCGCCCAGCTGCGGCACGCACTGCCTTCGACAAACTTTTCCATGCCTGGTGCTGGCCCACGTCTCACTGGTAGCCACAGCTCGGCAGTTCCACCCTGTTTATCGCGACCAGCCCGACCAAATGCCTAGCCCAAGCACATGTACACCATCAGCAAAACCAACAATTGATTTTTTTTTGTTTTTGTTTTTTCAAATCCATACAGTAACATGACCGTTTGAGCAACAACGTACCTGGGCCAGCGTATAGACGTTGTAGCCGTTGCCATACCACATCACGTGGCGAATGGTGAGCAGATCCACACCCGTGCTGAGGCAGCTGGTGGCCACAATGACGTCGCATTCACCCCGTTGCCACTGTGCCACATGGTCCTTTTGCGCCTTCTCCTCCAGGTCGGTGTAGTAGGGCAAGGCCATGTAGCCGCGTGCGTGCAGCTGGTCGCACAGCAGTTTCACCTCGTTCACGGTGTCACAAAAGACCATCATGTGCACACGCTCCCCATTCGCCTGACGCATCACCCGCTGCGTGTCCACGATGGCTTGCACATGCGACAAAAAGTTTAGCTGGTTTCCTTGAAGCACACGCAGCTGCAGATCGCGACGCATCGTCTCCAGACGGTACACCTTGCCCCCGACTTGCTGACCCAGCTTTCGAAACAGATGCTCCTGGTCCCCGATGCAAAGTGTGCCCGTCAATGCCACGCGTTTGATGTTGGTCCATCCGCCAGAACCCACACTGGCTGCGACTTCGTTCAGCACATCTCGGTAGCTGGCATCCGAGATGAGTGTGTGCGCCTCGTCCATCACCACGGTGCGGATGCGCTGAAAGCAGACCTTCCCGTGCAGGGACTCAGATCCCACGCGGACAAACATGTCGGTCGTAACAATGAGCACGTCCAGGCCATCTGCCACCTGTGTAGAGGGACCAAGCCATCGCTGGGCACTGTGACCCGCGCCTTGAAATCGCCGCAGCAAATCGTTGGCCACGGCCACAAACGGCACAATCCACAGCACCGTACAAGCATGCGGGCGACAGCCCAGCTTGGGCAGGGTACAAAATGTTTTACCCATGCCTGTCGGTGCAACAACAATCAGCCATCCATCTTCCGCCCGGTGCTGGTCAATGGCCGCAGCCAGGTCCAACTGTTCTTGGCTGTTGAAACTGTGGCCCCACGAGATGCTCGCCTGCTTGGCCAGCTGGGTCATGTAGGGTACGTCATGCTCTGCCCTCGTGTTCATGATGATACGCCCGTTTGCCTCGGGCGAGAGGTCAGTCACCGGGTTCCAGCTGATGGGATAGCGAGCTTCCAATGCTTCTTGGTTCGCGGTCAACTCGGCTATGCTGCGCTTGCGATCTAGTCCAAACAAAGCATGCCATTTTTGCGAGGCCACTTGATGCATCAGTCGCGACGACATTTTGGTTTGCACATGGTCACTAGCTGTGCGTGCATAGGCCCGCTGGGCTGTGTCCCCAGAGTGTTGAGCTTGAGTGTGAATCAGGCTACCCAGGGCGCCGGTCGTCTCGGCCGACAGTCGGTTAATCACAAACGTCGTCATCCAGAAGGTTGCGGCGTGTCGCCATGTGGCCACCCCCAGCTTTGGCCGATGCAGGTACGTGGTCATCTGTCGACGAAATGCCGCATAAATGGTGGCTGGGCTGACCATCGTCTGCAGGGGCGCAATGTTGAAGAGCAGGTGGCTGTTGTTGTAGTGGTTTCGAGCGTCCCGGACCTCGCGTCGCAATGTCATCGTCTCGTCGTGGCTCATGTGGTCTTCATCCAGCTCATCGTCGAGGAAATCTTCGTCGTCCTGCTCGGCATTGTGAATGCCATTCTCGTCGTCGGGGGTTTTCAGGCTGCCCCGCTTTTGCAGCCAGCTGCTTAGCATGTGCTCCAGAGGCTTGCACAGCAGCAAATACATGAATATCAGCGTGCTGATTTCCTGGTCCATGTATCGAAAGGTGTGCTGTTCGTTCAGGGACAGCCAGTAGGTCTTGCTCACGCGGGTCAATATGGAGAGCTGCTTCTCGGCAAAAAACGCGGCTCGCTGCCGGCCCACGCCATTTTTATAGGACAGCCCTTGATACACAGAGGCTCGTGGCGGCAGACCTAGTCAAATGCAAACAGGCATGAGTGGCG